CTTTCAACCTCATTAAGAGGTTCTTTAATACCTCCTCACTTTCTGCCATCAGAGTGGAATAATCTGCATATTGGAGGTTGTTGATATTTCTTCCTGCAGTATAAATTCCGGCTTGGGATTCCTCCAGTCTGGTGTTTCCCACAATGTATTCTGCATATAAGTTAAATAAGCAGGAGGGGGGGGGGAATATACAGCTTTAATCAGTTGTTCCATGCCCAGTTAGGGATTCATAATACAGTGGTGCCCCACATAGAGAGCGTCCTGTTTAACGACGAATCTGCATAGCGATGTGGATTTTGCAATCGCAAAGTGATCGCATTGCGATATTTTAAATCGGCGAAAAAATGCATTGCGATGTTCGGTAAGCGTTTCGCTTACTGATGTTCGCATTGCAATGTTTTTTAAACAGCTGTTTGGCGATTCCAAAATGGCCACCAGGTAAACAAAATGGCTGCCTGCAGCGTTTTCACATGGTTTCCTTGCTTACCAGGCAGAGAAAATGGTGGCCGTATGGAAGATTTCGACATAGCGGTGAGTTCCCCCCCCATAGGAACGCATAAAACAGGGTTTAATGCGTTCCTATGGGGTTTTTTCTTCTGTATAGCGATGATTCTGGATAACGATGATTTTCCTGGAACAGATTATCATCGCTATGTGGGGCACCACTGTAGTTAAAAGCCTGCCTGAAGAGATGGGTCTTTAGCTTTTTTTCAGAAGGATAAAAGAGAACGGCCCATTCTGATCTCCCACGGGAGAGTGTGTGATAGCTTAGGGGCTGCCAATAAGAAGGCCCTCCTCTCCCGGGTCCCCATCAGCTGTCCTTGGGCTGGGAATGGGGCCGACAGGAGGACCCCCTCTGCTGATCTTAATCACCGAGAAGGCATGTATAGGGAGATGCGGTCCTTCAGGTAGCCTGGACCCAAGCTGTTGCATTACTTAAAATGAAAGAGATCCCTAAATTAATTTCCCTATTCTGGGTGCTACCAATAGAGTTTACTGACATGTAGTTAAAAGAATGGCAAGTGATGAATTAACATATATTGCAAGAATAGTAAAAAAAAGAAGAAGCTAGGATCTATCACAAAAATAAAAAGGGCATCAGATATTCCATATTAAGTTATATTATGGAGCAAATGAATTTAATATGGAAAGAATTAGAAATGCATGGAACGAAGAACATTTTGGAGAATATTTTTTTCAAACAAAACATTAGGGAAGAGTTTAAGAGCACCGATAAGCCTGTTCTTAAAAACTTTGTTAGAAAGTTGAATACGTTACAGGGGAGTATTAAGTCTGCCAATCTCCCCTCTTACCCAAGTGATTGAGAAATTTTCAATAAATTCTTAAATGGGTTTATAAAAGATTGGATGAAATGGATACAAGATAGCAAGCAAATAGGGAAGCTGGTGGGAGAAGGGAGGATTTCATGAGGAAACATAGTTCAGTTAGAAAAATGGGCAAAAGAATGGAAAAGGAAGGAGAAGGTAGAAAATTTGTGAAATTTGAGGAAACTATTAGAGGAAGACTGAGGTTAGAAGCAATGAAAAACAGAAAGGAGATCGGAAGTGAAATGTGAAGAGGCAGGATGTAAAGGGAAAGATTGGAGTAAAATGTGTAATAACAGAATTATGAAGCCTACGTCCATAAGGGTTAAAGAAAAATTCTACAAAGTAAAATGGAGATGGCATTTAATTCTGGTGGCATTGGATATATTAAATAATAATGCATCATCTCTGTGCTGGAGGTGTAAAAAAGAAAAAGGGACATATTTCCATATGTGGTGCTTCTGCCAAATAAGGAGGAGGAAGGAATGGATGCTGGTTTTAAAGGAGATTAGGGAAACAATTCGATTAAATCCATTATTACCTTATTGAATATGGTTAATAATAACCAAGGGAAGAAAGAAGAAAAGGAATTAGCTATTAAATGGTGCCTATGTCAAAGCTCATATTTGCAAGGAACTGGAAAAGCAATTACCAAATTAACCTTGAGCAACGGTATAGAAAAATGTGGAATGTGGCCATTGATAACAATGGACCAGTGAAATAAAAATTAGAAGAGGGATATTGAAAACTAGTAAGTTTAAAGCTATATGGAGTATTTTTCAAGATTATGTCTTTTGGAAAGGGAAGAGGGGTAGCCCGGGAGAATGATCCGTGTGCTTTTGGAGAGAAACAGGATGCTACAAAATGCAAAAATAATCATCATCCTAACCCTAACCCTAGTCCCTAAAGGAAAGGTGACAAAATGTGGAGAAAGGTGGGCGTGGGCATGTGATAAACGGGACGAGAGCATAGAGGCTGTCGTCGGAGTGCCGTCCCCAAGTAAAACCTCCAGAGAGGTACAGACCACTCCACCGCCAACACCTCCCAGGAAAATACACCAGGGGACACCCGGGACCTGGAAACAAGTCTGAGGGGTCTGACTATAGCAACACAAACCGGAGAATTGGCGGGAAGAGAAGAAAGGGGGAGGTCCATGGCTGAGGCAGGAATGAGGATTATAAATAGGGAGGACGACAACAACCTGGGTGGCTGGGAGTTTATCTGGGTAGAGGACCCATGGACTGGGAGGCAGATTATTGTAGGAGGAAGGGACTATCTCAACGTCCTTCTTACTGGGGTGAGTCTGAAGCGAGGAAGCGGAAGCAACGACTGAAGGAGGAAAAGGAGGTGGTCGCCCGAGAAGCAGAAGAACAGCGGGCACGGTGAGTCGAGGAGGCAGGGAGGATGATGTACCTCCGGGGCTGTGGGGACAACTCACGGGAGAGAGAGACCTGGTATGGAGAGGGGACGAGGATGATGAGACCTCCCAGTTATTGAGAGGAGAAGCAGATGCCGATGTTCCAAATTATGACCCATTGGTGGCGGGACCCTGGGATGTTAAATCGTTGAATCCGTTTGACTCAGAACTTTGGTTACCCCTGTGAGCGCCGTTGGTTACACAGGAGAAGTTACAATGAGAATCATACAAAGAAGTTTTGCCTATATAGATAAAGAAATAAATACAAGTTTGGATTTTCGTTTAAAAGAGACTCCTGGTTTCTTTGACAAAAAGGGGAGGCTAAACACCGAACCTTCACAGAGCAGCATGGGTTAATTTCAGCAGATGCAATGTTGTGTATTGTAACTTGCATCCTCACTTTATTTTCTTTTTGTCATTTTCTTTTCAATAATGAAGAGGTCCATCAGATCCTATACTCTCTTGTCTCTGTGGATCTTTCACCCCTTCATCTGATGTTGGGATTCAAAATGGAAACATTTTCCCTCAATGTCCCCTCCTTATGACCAAAGATAATCATCCTCAAACGTTATTAAAATGATGCTTCTGCAATAGATTCAATAGGTTTCGGGGAAATTATGGACAAAGATCTTGTCAATTAAAAAAAAAAACACTGTGGGAACCTAAGGGGAGAAATCCTCAACCCACATTTATGTATGCATGCATGTATATTTGTATGTGTATCTCTCTCTCTCTCTCTCTCTCTCTCTGTGTGTGTGTGTGTGTGTGCTCCATCCACCACTTGCTTAAAGCAAGTGGCACCTTCTCTAAAATCCATGCCTGGGGCCCGATAAATGCACAAACGGCCACACACCAGCACCCTGCAATCTCCCCACCTCTTGTTTCTTTCCAGAGGCTGTGCAAAGCTTCCCTCTTCCCTGTGAGAACCTCCCGGCAGGAGCCCTTCTTGAGGAAGAGACTGCACGCCTTCCTCGTCCTTGGCTCTCCAGCTTGCCCTTCCCTTCCTTTCAAGGGCAGCTGAGGCTCCGCACCTGGCCAGGGGAGACCCTGCCTTGGTTGTCGCAGGAAGAAGCCAAACAGATACAGGAAGAAGGTTGGCGGGCGTTCTCCTAGGACAGCATAAATCCTGCAAAAACTATTCTCAGAACTTGGAAGTGGTCATCAAGGATCGCTTTCCCTCTCATAGTGGGAGAAACGGCATCCTTTGGGATATTAATCCCCTTAATTCTGCAGGAGAATCTCATGGTGGAAAATTAAGAGAAAGTGTTTCTCTCTTAAAGATGTTCCGGAGATGTCATATGGAAGGATAACGGATGCTCCCCAAATAAATAAATCAACTGAAACCTACCAAAAAGATACCATGGACTGAAGCGAGAAGAAGAAGGCAGCTCTTTTCCATCTTTCCTTCTCCCCCAAATCCCCACATGCAGGAGTGAATTCTTCACTTCACCCTCTTGCATCCCAAAAGAAGAAAGGAGAAATTCAGGGGAGGCCCCATGCTAGGCTGTCCAGGGTTGGAATCTCACCGACAGCACCTGCTCTTGGTGTTGACAGGGTTGAGCCTAGCAGGACTGGGAACCAAAACAAAAACACTCTGCACATGCTCAGAGAAGCACTGCTGTAGACAGTAAAACTGGGACTCACGCAACTCAGGTTCGAATCCCCACTCAGCCAGGAAACTGACAGTGTGTGCTTGTGGTTGTTGTGGGTTTTTCGGGCTCTTTGGCCGTGTTCTGAAGGTTGTTCTTCCTGACGTTTTGCCAGTCCCTGTGGCCGGCATCTTCAGAAGACAACCATTAGATCCCGGACGTGAAAACCTTCATGAATACAGTATGTGCTTGCTTTCACAAACCAGTGGTCTCCAGAACTGGGCGACAGAATGAAGTTGACAGAAAAGACTCAAAGTGAACCTCAGAATATGGGGATTTCACACCAACTCAGTCTCCTTTGCACTGTCACGCCCCATCTCGGTGGCCCCTCTTGCCCTCACCAGGCATCATGGAAGATCTGGTGGAAGGCGGCCTCCAAACGCTCCCGATGCTTCCTGCGATTGGGCTAAAATTCTCTGAAATACTGAAGTCAGCTTTACAACATCTCGTATCCTCCTAATCATAGGATTATCATTTAATGAACAAACAAACACAGCATCACATCTGATCTCAAAGAATGAAAGAGATCTCACCTGCCATTCAAGTTTTCGGGGGGCTTTGGAGTTGGATTCTTGCCTTTTTGTCCAGAGAAAAGCCGGAGAGAGCATTAGCTGAACCTCACCCTGTCCTTGGGAGAAAAGAAAAAAAAAAACCAAATCATTCTGGAGCCTTCTCAGATGGACAAAATTAAAAGCTTTCCCTTTAGCATAGAAGCCTTTGTCTTTCTGACAATCTGGAGAATTCAATTCTTCAAAAAATACCCTCCAGTTTATGAATGTGTGTGTGTGTGTGTGTGTGTGTGTG